ACAACAGCTCCACAGGAGAAAGGTGAGGCTACCTGCTCCTGTAAAGATTTAGTCTCAGAAACCACATCCAGACTTGTCATGAGTAGATATAGACTCAATGGCAGTGGATATGTGTTGTTTTTGTCTGTAATTAACATTCTTAGAAGCAGTAGTCAAGAAATCAAGCAATATGTTACATGGGGCAAATCTGCGAAAAGAAAAAAACTCTCTGAAGTGTTAAGAAGCGGGGATGTAACATTGCAGACAAGAGGGCTTGCCCCACGCCAGGGTACTTTTGATCACCTCGTAGGCACGGGAAGCTGGACAATGAATAGGGAAGACCAATGAAGCGTTGGTGCGTCTGAATTGCCGTGTTGGAGACTATTAAAAGTACTATTGACCGCCAGAAGATCAATTTTGTCTTGGAAGAAGTATGACCAGGATGCTCCTTAAAAGTGAGGATGTGAGACTGCTCACAGTACTTCGGGCATGTTACCAGGAGAGCCTGTGCCTGGGGGAGGGCCTCAGGTTGAGTAGTGTTAAGGAAGAGAGACCTTCAAGGAGGTGGCCTAGCAAGTGGATACAAGGGAAGCAGCACTTCACTCTTTATGCACAGGATTGCTATGATTAGGAACCAAAATCTGAAGCACCTAACAATGCAAGAAATAAATACAAAGAAAAAAGAAAAGAAAGGGGGGAGGGGTATCCAAGTGCGAGTGTGTGTACGCGTGCGTGCGTGCGTGCATGCATGCGTGTGATAGTTTTTCCTGAGGATAGTCTGGCCTACACCCTTGAACGGTTTCAATCCGCAGCATGCTACTTAAGAGCCAGTTATGTCTCCGTTATTATTCGGGGCATCAAGTCCGTTCTAACACATAGCAGCCACGTGCACCACACAATGGCACACTACCTGGGCCTGTGCAGCCTCACGGTTGTGACTACGCTTGAGCCCACTGGGGCAGCCATAGTGTCAACCCAGCTCACGGAGTCGGTTAGCGCACTGGTGAATCTCAAGATGCTGCGGGGAGGCCCCCGCACAGCAGAGGCGAGTGCCGGCTCCCAGTGCTTCAGCTTTTTGACACAGTTCAACTGGCGAAGTCAATTCTTGAAGCCTTTTTTGGTTTTTTCATTTTTAAATCATTTTATTAGGGACTCGTACAAGTCTTATCATAATCCATCCATACATGTTAAGCATATTTGTACATTTGTTGCCATCGTCATTCTCAAAACATTTGCTTTCTACTTGAGCCCTGGGTATCAGCTGTTTTTTCCCAGCAGCCCAGTGCATTTTTTCCCCTCCTTCCTCTACCTGCTCCCGACCCCGAACACATTTTTTTCCCTCCCGACCCCGAACCCTTGATAATTTATAAATTATTATAATTGTTTTATCTTACACTCTCCAATGTCTCCCTTCACCCACTTTTCTGTTTTCCATCCCCCAGGGAGGGGGCGTTATATGTAGATCCTTGTGATCGGTTCCCCCTTTCTCAGCTACCTTCCCTTTACCCTCCTGGTATCGCTACTCTCATTATTGGTTCTGAGGGGTTTATCTGTCCTGGA